TGACCCATTTTTGGCAGGCACCATTAGCTGTGGTTGAGCCCAGAGGTCTCTTGGGCATTGCTGGTGGATGACTGCTAAATAACTTGCATGTGCTTCTCTTTCCAGCTGGAGCTCATCACAGCCCAAGCCATGAGAGCTGGCTTTACTGGGGGAATGGTGGTAGATTATCCCAACAGCGCTAAAGCCAAGAAGTGAGTCCTGTGTCTCTGTGTATGTGTGTGGGGTGAGGCCTGGGTTCAGCAATGATTTTTTTTAATGGGTTTTTTCCAAGCTGTTCTCTCTCCCATCATACAGTCCTAGACAGAGCTTAGATCAGACTCTGTTATAAACAATCTGAGTCTTGCTTGGGGACTGGAAATCACATGCTGACTCCCAGCTTCATGCTGCTTATTTTTGTTCTTTCAGATTCTTCCTTTGTCTCTTTGTTGGGGCATCTGGCACGTTACCGAAGGTGAGGAGCTCCGTGAGGCAGCAGAGTTGCCTTCCTGGCTGCTGTGTGATGTGGAAGAGCTGTGGGAAAGTCACAGAGTGGGAGCCAGGCAGCTCTGCACATGCAGATGTGACTTCATTTATACATTTGCTGCCAGTCTTACCGGCCTCTGCTCTTGACATCTGTCTTCTTTGCCACAATTTCTGGAAGACCAGTTTGTTCCTGCTCCAGTCCTTCCCCTTGGAGAGCCCTGGGTTCCCCTTGATTTAGATGGCATGACTGTTAGCTTGGTCTGCTCCAGAGGAGAACAAAACTTCCCAATTTTGCTTTTCAGGGCCTTGGTACTGAGTGTGCTGATGGAGAAGAGATACATCAGGCAAAGTTCACCAATGAGAGGTATCGTGTAGAGGGCAAAGCTGCAAGTCCTCCCCAAGCAAGGAATGGGGGGGGGTATAAGGGCTGGGTTTTGCTGACCACAGCGCTGCCATGTGAGAAGTGACTGAAGGGAGGGGACTGGGGGCACTGGGAGGACCCTTGGCAGCCCAGATGGGCATTGCTTTATCTTACCGAAGGGCCCCAGACACAAGGAATGGAATGGGTTAGTTTGAAGGGCTTTGCTGTGGTGTCACGGGGCTGTTGTTGATATTCACCCTGGAGCTGCAGCTGAGCAGTCAGTTTGAGGTGTGTTTTCTGTCCAGCACTTGGCTCTCCAGCTCAGCTCTGTAGCATAGGCCAGTGGTGACGGGGGACAACGTTTACAGTGCTGGTGATGCTAAGCATGGCTTGTTTTGTTGGGGAGGCAGTCTGCTGTGCCTGAAGCCTTGTGTTCCCTTTCTTCTGCTGTCAAATTATTTGCTTAGCTCTACTTAGCTGTGGCCTGGGGGGTTTCTCCTGCTGGGCAGGTCTCCTCCCATGGCAGTGGTGCACGGAGGAGCCTCTCTTGCAGCCAGTGGGAGAGACAGAGAACAAAAAACAGAGGAAAAGTCGTCATGGCTGCCAGGAGCTTGTGGCTGCCATGTTTTCCTGCCTCTTACACTGCTGTTCTCTGCTCACTGAGTCCAGGGGGTACCTGCTCTTGGAGGGCAATAGCAGAACTGGCAAATTGTTGGAAAGCCAGAGGCTTTGTCTGCTTTGTTCAGAGTAGAGCAGACAAGGGGAGGGTGGTTGTGCTTGAGCCTGTATTCCCCCAAGATCCCAGAGCCCAGCGTGCTGCTGGTGTATCGGACACGGCACGGGAGTGCTGGCCTGCTGCAGCCCGTGGAAGGTAGGTATCCCTGGCTCAGAGCCGGGACTGGAAGCAGCCTCCTCCCCCAGCACATCTGGAGTTGGACTGTTGGGCCACCTGCCCTAGTGCTGGCTGAGCCTCTAATCCCAGGGGTGGTGGGAGGGGTACTTGCTGGTTTTGTGAGGCAGAGGGCATGCTCGATTCTGGACGGCAATCCTCCAGGGCAAAAAAACCTGTGCCGCCTACCTCAGTTCCTCTCCACTTGCTGTCTGCTTTCTCTGTAGGACGCGGTTCAGAAACGCCAAGGGCAAGTCTGTGAAGAAAAGCCGGGACTGGATCCTTGAGAAGAAGGAGCGTAGACGACGACAGGGCAAGTAAGTTGAGCTGGGTCCTACCTCAGACTGCTAGTCTGGCCTGCTGTCACCCATTCAAACTCCTGCCACAAACCTGCATCCCTTCCCCTCCCAGAATGACCTGTGGATTGTCCTTAGTTGCTCTCTTCTTTTCTCCACAGGGAAGTGCGAGCAGACACGAAATACACAGGTCGAAAACGCCGCCCTCGCTTCTGAATTGCTCTGGACGCTGCTGGCATGGAAGATGGTGTGTTGGTCCCTTCAGTGAGCCTCCTGTAGATGGCACAGATGGGCACCCCAGGCCTGGGACAGGTCACTGTGGCTCTTGCAGGTGTAAACTGCCTCGGGTGTTCCCCAACAGCCAACTGCAAAACTTACAGCCCTGTTCTACTGGTGGAGTGGCAGACAGTGCTCTGGCCACTTGGTGTCTGCAATGCCATTGCTTATCTTCCCGAGAGTGCAGTGAACTGTCTGGAGCTCCAGGTGAGCCGGAATATTAAATCCAGCCTCCTCACTAAACAGTCAACGAGTCGGAAGTCTTGCTGGTCTCCTGTGTCCTGCCTTCAGTGCAGGGAGTCCTGAGGTGGGAATATAGCACCTAGTTCCCTGCCAGCTTCCCCCTGTCCACAGGCAGGGAGTCAGGCAGCATACGAGTGTGTGTCCCATGAGGGCAAATTGCCTGCCTGGCAGAAGTGTTATTCCTGTGGCAATTCTTCCTGTGGGTGCTTTGCATCACGCCCAGCCCGTGTGCTTGAGTGCTCCCAGGGTGCTGGGGTTTTCCGTACCCCAGCCCTTGCTCCCCATCACCTCCTCCCTTCCCCTGAAACAGGGAGCTGCCAGACAGCTTTACAGTTACAAATGTTTATTCTACATAAAAATTCCACAAAATGGGAAGCTGTTTTGCACCCAAAGCTTTGGGGGAAGAAAGGCAGGCTAGCAGGGAGGGAAAAGGTGAAGGAGAAAAGAGGCAACATACAGTGTCATCCAGCCCAGTGAGACAGAGCAAGCCAGGGTCAAGATCCACATAGAAAACAAGGACACTTAGCTCACAGTACAGCAACAGTACAACTCCACGGGGGGCTTGGAAAGCCTTCAAGTACATTAATTACAAAAAAAACCAAAACAATCCCCAGTTCAAGTGCAAGCTGTGCGTGCCCCACACTGCTCATGAAATACTGCATCAACACGCTCCCAGTGCTGGGAGGGCAGGTGGCACTTGGAATGGAGATGGTGTAACCCAAAGGACAAGCAGTCTGAGCTTGGGGGTTGGAAAGAAAAGTGAAATATCTCCCCAAAGCACAACCACGCTGTTGGTGATTTGGTCTGTACATGCAACGACGGGTAGGTAAAAAGGAACTGAACGGGGCTTCCCATAGTGCAGGGGTAATTATTGCACCAAAACACCCTCCCCTCACAGCGAGGACAGTGTGAGCCTGCCTGGGGGACAGTGATGGCAGCCTGCTCCTCTGCCTCCCTGGGGCTGGACCCTGGGGGCACCGCTGCCTGCAGGATCCCAGCAAAGTGCCAGTGGCAGAATTGCTGACTGTGACCCTGTGTGGCTCCTGCTGCTGGGGAGCTGCTGGCGGTGGTGGTACCAACAAGGAAGGAGTAAGTGCCAGAGAGGCCCCCCCCACTCCGTGCTGTTCTTGGCCTCGTGCCTTGACAGGGGTGGGCCACAGCCCTGATGTCACGTGAGCTTGTGCCACAAAAGCCGCTGCTTGGAAGAAGAAAGTTGCCTTGTGCTAGCAGTGGGCATCACTGCTGGGTGAGAGCCTGAGAGGATCTGTTTGCCTGCCTGCCTGTCCAGGAGCTGCCCTGCCAGCAGTGTTATTGCTTCCCAGAGGAGAGGGCTCAGCGCTCTTGCTGGCTAAGCAGAGCGCAGACTGTGGTGGCAGGGAGCTGCACAGGGACAGGAGCAGCAGGCACTCGTGCATCACCTCCAGCTCCCTTTCCTGTAGCCAGACACCTTCCCACAGAGCCAGGACCCTGTCCATGCCTGCCTCCTGCCCTGGACGGGGGCTCCAGAGCCAGCCTGCCCACACTTGCATGGGTCCCAGTGCCCCAAGCCCTTTTGCACGCACAGGCTGCAGTGCTGTAGCTTGCATCAGTTGTTGGAGGATTGTAAAAGAAGGGGACTCCGGTCTTGGATGTTCCCATGGCCACACCTGCTGGGGGCTTGGGCTGGGCAGGACAGGGGACCGGGCTGGACACGCTTCCCAACGGTGGCTGAATGCAACCAGGGGCTGTATTGTGGGACCTCGGGTAAC